AGTTGAAACCGAAAAACACCGATTTTTGGAAATTCTTGCTGCAGCTATGGGACTCTTTTTGTCAAAACCCTCTGTTTTTTTGTTTGCCTCGGGCTTTATGTATTTCATGAGATTCTTTTCCCCGATAATTATCGCTTTTAATGTCCTTTCGGAATAGATCGCCGAAAAAAAATTACTGGAAAACATCCACCGATTTTTAAATAAATAAACATCGAAAAAGACTACGTTCTAATTACATCATAGACTTTTTGAAGGCATAGCTATTATAGTTGCTTCGAGTTTTCACTTGCTTACGCAGTATAGTTAGCAAGCATTGTGAGTCATGTTTTGACAATTCACTGCTTCAGGAATATTTTTTTTTCTTCTTGATGATGTATCCCCCTCTACATTCATTCTACATTCTAGATCAGTCAACATCTAAACTTATTTGAATTCGCATTGGGCGAGACGTGCTAGCGTACAGTGTAAGTCAACGCACAGTGTTGGCCACTTTAAATAAACATCAGGTTTTTGTATCCGAATTTCGACAGAAAAGGGACGGAGATAGATGACTGTGGTAGAAGGCACCGATGAAAGGGTGTTTTACTCGAGGTAATAGGCTTAGTTGTAAGTAGATGAATAACGAGATGAGCTTTATTCGATTAGATTATTCGGCACGAATCCACGTTAGTTATGCTTTGGCTCCCGCTGTTTCACAAATCGAAGGCCTTTTGAATGCCCGTAAAACCGGGCTCTAAGTTTAATAAAAACATGCTGGCGGCCATGTGGGCCGATGTACTCTTGACATTGGGGGAATTCGAAAGGGAGGAAGTAGACGCTCGCTCTGACGCGACCCTGTTACGTAGAGACTTGGATATGGTTCCGTTACACGTTTCGGTTCTTGGCATTCGTTTTAAGATAAACCGAACTCGGGACCCTTTTCATCGCGAGTCGTTTTGGCATAGCGCGAAAGAAATATAAAGATGATAAATCAAAGCGAAATAATGAAGACGAATGGATGAATGAATGAATTCAACGTACGCACTTTGTCGCAACCGGCCACTTGAGAAAAACGAAAACGAAACTAGAAATAGAGATAAAGCATAAATTTACGAGCAGCGGCAGGACTCGGAACCCCCCTCCGAGGGCGGGGACAATATAGACCAATTGTGACGTCACCGCTACCTGAGCCTCCAGCCGCTGCCATATCGGATGTCTTCCCCAAATCCCGACAGTCATCCATCTTCGTACACCTTGGTCCTGAAGGAAAAGCTTCTGGGAGTCTTTTTTCTCTCTGCGCCGCAAGGAGAGCCACCGCACCGCGCTGTCTCAAACGCGAAACACCGAAAACAAAAGTCGCCAAAGAAATGAAAGGAACACTCAGTAACACAGAAAGCTGGAACAGAATAAAGACCAAGATACCATCAGTCTGAAGACGTCTGCCGTCTCCCTCTCCTTTTTTCTTACCCTTTCCACGGGGTCTTCTTGGCTGTAGCGGTACGTAGTTGACTGCCGGAAAACGGAGAGCAAAATACGTACCTCAATAAAAAAATTAGGCGAAAATAGAAATACCGTCGGGGATGACTGTTTATGCTCAACGCGAGGGGGAAGCGAAATCTAAAAGCGTTTTCTTCTCCCGCTCAGCGTCTTGCACTTAACTTTATTTTTCTTCCGAGAGCTGAATCGGAGGATGAAGAAGCGAGGCAGTAGGAGGCGAAAAGAAGCCGAAAAGGAAAGTACGTGCTCGACATGTTTGCGTTTAGTTATTTGCTTGCGGTCGCCCACTGTCGGTCCGATCAAACCAAGTGCTCGCGAAAACGGGAAAGGGGGGGGGGGGGGGGGGGGGGGGTCTAGTGGCGCCCTCTGCCGCTGCTGACGCCAATTATAAACCGCGCGGGGATGCCACTCGTCATCTTTCTTCGGTTGTGAGTCGTCGGGGTTAGTTGTCTGTCTACGGGTCGTCGCTCAACCCGACGCTCTTTCAGCCCCCAAAACAACTAGGAGTCACACGAGCTAATATAAATATGTACATAAATATATATATATCTATAGAAATAAAAAAAGATCAAGCCACGTCACCTCCCAGAGATAGCTCAAAAATACAAAAGCAAAAGAAATAGTACATAAGAGAGGTCCCAGTTTCTTCTGCGTAACAAGCGCACGACGTGAAAACGGTCTCTTTCAAAAGACACCAATTAGTGCTCTATCTTAATTAGAAAGGAGGCATCTTCCCCGTTGCGTTACACGCGATAGGGCCAATCGAAAGCGGAATGGGAAATCACGTGGTCGTGAATCCTAATCTTTCACCGTGTATTTTTTTTTTTTTTGCCCATTAAAACTATTTGCGATTTGTAAGATCCCAATCTAAAATGTTTCTCGGAGCCCAAAATTCATTGATCCCAGCCCAAAATTCATTTCATGGCCCCTTTAAAGTGAAGCGAAGTATAGTTTCGGATCCTCTCTTAACGGACGTCACTCGAAGCTGGCTTCACCTTATAACCGGACTGAGCTGTAAGCCTGTATCTCCTCGGCTGACGCGGCGATTCTTCTTTCCCCGAGCGTCCACCCCCTTTTCGCCAGGCACCTTTTCAAAGCGTTCTCCGGCAGCTGGCCTTTGGAGCCGCCTCTTCGGTCTTTGAGCTGTCTGGGGAGAAATGCATTTGTGTGTGTGTGTGTATGTCACTTTCCGTTTCTTTTGTTTGTTTTTTTCTGGATGGGAGGTGATTAGTTTGGCCGCGTCATTAGTGGCACGTGCCTCGGCCAGGTCTACAATGAACTCGGCACCGGCTTCGTTTGCCAGTCAGCCAAGCCACCGGTCGGTCTGTCTTGCCGTTTCGCCGCCCATAGATTTTTTTTTTCTCTTTTTTTTTTAATTTTTGGGATTTTTTGGTTTAGGAGACGGGAGACTCTGCCACGGTCTTCGACGTTCATACTTTTAGAGTCATTTACCCGGTACGTATATCTGGGGAATAAACGCTCAATTCCCGTAATATAAGGGTAATTGAAGGGATCAGAGTTTGCTTAAGAATATTTATTTATGCATGCGTACGGTGTTATTAAAAGAAAAAAAAAAGAACAGGAACACGTAGAAGAATAATTAATAATATAAACCGGAGAATACGCGTCCTAATATTTCGCCTCCCTCTTGTCCGGGTTTGTATTCTTTTTTTTTAAATTAATGTCTACACTAAGCAGAACATTTTGTTTTTTGCTACTCTTGGTTCTGATGCGTCTAAAATTTAAAATGGCGCGTGGTTTTGGGCTGTGAAGCGTCTCAGAAATGCAGCCGGTGTCTCGCATCAAGGCCTATGACGCTGCGTAAGCTCAAAAACAAAAACAAATTGGCCCGAAAAAAAAAATTGATGAAGGCTAAGGTTTTTGCGCATGCGCCGTACAGTGATACAACAGCGCCACCTCTGCGCACGGCCACCGAGGCTCGGAAAAAATCGGCTTGGCCAGTAGAGTGTGGGTAGCCGCAACAAGCCGGGAGTTCCCCAGCCAAGCACCCCTAAAAGAGAAAAAATAAATAAATACAAAAAAAAAAAAAGAATACTCGGTTTTGTTGCGTCCTAGCATCGTGATCGTTCTGAAACGCTGCAAGACTCGCTTTGATGACGTCTATTAGGTTGAGAAATAGGCCTTACTTCTTGGGGGATATTGACCCCAGGCGACGGCCCACCCATTGGCGACGGTTACCCAAACGCTAGGAGCGCGAGGATTCGATCGACCACGTACTTCTCGCTTCACTCTTTGTAAGTACATAAAGGTTGCGGACAGCACAGACGACGGTTGTGGAAAAGGGCTCACAACGAATATGACCAGAACCGCTTTGGGTGGGACCTCCGATCGCACCGATTCGAGCGACACTCCGAGACGAGTTTCGGAGGAAAAGGGGTAGTCGTCGTCGTGCGTCGGAGCAGTTGACTGGAATTGTTTCGCCGGAAGCTATTCCCCCCCCCCCCCCCCCCCTCCCCCCCCCCAGCATGAAACCGCCGGAATGCCGCAGACTCCGAGGAGTCTCCCCGCGTTACCATACGCTCCGTTTCGCCGTACGATGGACCGCGAAACACTCTACGGGCCGTAACGACCAATGAAATAGCTTGTACAAGTCACGTGACCATCGGTTGGGGGCTAAGCGATCGCGTCACGCGATACTTTCGTTGCGTGGGGCATTGGCCCGTAGCGTCTGTTGCGTTCCGTCTTTTTATGGTGAAAGGTAGAACACCGGCCGTGCCTTGGGGATACGTTCTCCGGAATGTCTCGTCCCGACGACCGCTTTCCGGGGAGCTATCCAGGTTCATTTGCAGCTCTCGCGTTCTTCGAGGAGCGTGTGTGTGTGTACGCGGGGCGAAGAGTTGGGTGTGTGGGGAGTTCAGCATTATGTGCGCGTGTCTCCGAGACGTCAGAGTTGGCGAGCTTTTTTTTCTTTTTGTGCGTGTGCGTGTCTACGCGAAACTACCGAGGAGCACTAGCGTTAATTAAAGAGCAGGGAAAAGTGTTGTGATTACGATGATGACGGTTGGAAGGGGCACAGTGTTTTTGATGATGGCTGGTGATGACACACAGCTACAACCGCCGCTATCCGAGGGGCTTGTTTCTGGAAGCATCAGCTTTTACGAACGTTCGTAGTGGTAGGTCGTGGAGCAATAGACGAGACAGTGTGTTTTTGAGGATCATAAAGAAGCGTATTATGATGTGGCATAAAAGTGACGTCTTCGCAGATGATATTCCGTCTTACTGTTTGAACAACGGGGCCAAGAACAGCCTTCTGCGAGCATTTCTGAGGCGCGACGAGAAAGTGTTTGGGTCGACACGCCGACAGCGCGTCACTAGCCAAACTTGATTAGTATCCTCAACTGTACTTGTGACGTCGATACCGTTTTGGTCGTGCCATTCGCGTTTATGGCAAATGAAAGGTGCCTGACGTGACAGCTGGAGGGAATGCCCCCTGGCCCGACTCCCCGTTCACATGTCCGATCCTCGGCGGCTCAGAGGCGGCTCTCGTGGTTTCCTCGTTTCAGTCGACGGTGGAGGTGAGCAGCAACCTCCTGGAGGACTACCAGAGGGACTCGTGGATGGAACTGCCCCCGCGGGAACGTCGTCGTGTGGCCGGCGCTCTGCTCGAAGCCCTGGACAACTCGACCTGGCTTCTGGCCGACACCAGGAACGCCGCCTTCACCTTCTCCAGAGCGCATGGCAACGTCTGTGAGTGCCACCACTTTCTGTCTCTCTCTGCGTTCACCTCGCCGCCCTAGTTTCTTTGTAGTCATTCATTAGGGAGTTTTCGTAGACCGCGTTTCCCCCTCCGCTAAGCTCTCTGCAACGAAGAAGTCGCTACTGCGCCTGCCTGCCGATGGTCTTGACTGTAGAGTTCCGGAATCGTAGCGATTCAAAGAGAGCATTGCGGGACGGCGAACACGATCTACGAAAGCTCCCTAATCTCTTCATAGCGGTTTTTGCGCTATTAGGGCAATGACCGTGGTAATACCATCACTTTAGATACCACGGAAAGGAAGGCGGTCTTCTAAGTTAACAAAAATTAAAATAAAAAGGAGCGTATGAAGCAGGATATTGTCGTGTCATCCTGTGTTGTGCCGAATCGTTATTTATTCGGAGGTTTATGTAGAATGGTAGTTTTAGTGATTCGTTCGGGTCAAATGTCAAGACATCATATCAGTTGTACAGGGGCTCACAAAGCGCGAAAAGCCAAAATTTGACGCACTGTATCTAGTCCCTGATAACTTGCATCACGGACTAGTGATTACACGAACGTACTGCAGCACAACGACCCTTTGTGTCGAAACCGGCCGCGTCGAGTCACCACGCTGAGGCTCCCGTAAAGGGGTGTCCATACGGGACACTACAAAACGCACGACTCCGACAAATCGTGAAAATTGAAGCTGGCACGTCCGCTTCAATTTTCACGATTTGTCGGAGTCGTGCGGTTTGTAGTGTCCTGTTTGGACACCCCTTAACACGACGGCATGCTCTGCGCAGAAATGCGTCGTTATCGTCATTTTCGAGCATTCTTTGATGTGACGTATATCGTGTACGTTAATTACCGTTGCAGGCTACTCAAACTCATTGTTGAGGTCGTCCTCAGGGTCACTGAACCATGTGCTGCGTAAGAGACAGCGATGACACGCGAAGATCTCGGGTCTACGGGCTTAAAAGACGCCCTCGCGAACGTCGCAATTGTACGGATCCATCGAATCGAGCATTCATCGACAACGAGCATGGACGAAAACGGCAGGGATGCTTAGCAAGATGACACGGGCAAAGAGAGTGGTACGAGCGGCGGCAAACCAGCAAAAGAACGGAAGAAACAGAGAGGATTCTGGAGGAGGAGGCGGAGTTGTTTGTCGTGCGGGAAAGCCTGCCCGCCCCTCCGCAGATGCCCTGCGGGAAAGACCACCGCGAGTCTCTGCGGACCCGTGTGCGTCTATTGCTCTGCTGCTGGGAACTTGGGGGAGGCAAACGCAGGGTCGGGCTAAGGCCGGCCTGGTCAGAGGAAATGGCTCTCCGTGTGGACTACTTCCTCTCATCTGAGCTTTATTCTTTTTTTATTTTAGACTTTTTTTTCTTCTTTTTTTTTTTGGTGTGTGTTTGTGTGTGTTTGCGCTCTTACGAATTTCCCTTCCATGGGTGACGTTTTTTTGTTTTCAATATAGCTTTCCTTCCCTATTTTTCCTTAGCGACGTATTCTCCCCACTTCTGTGAGCAAACGCGTTTAAGGTGGGGGAGTCTTTTTTATTACTTTGTTATAGGGACTTCTCTTTTGTTTTGCTATTGCGCTCTCTTGATCGTGCTTTGTTCTGAGCAACTTTTTTTTTTATTCGCCATATTTTTGTTTTTGTTGTCCAGCTGTGTACTCGCGGAAGCGACGAAGGACCCGTTCTTCATAACCTCTCACGCCCTCTTTTGTTCCACCCTAAAAAACAAAATCTATTTTGGGAATTTTATTTGATTTCTTTCGCAGTCTATTTGTGTCTAGATGTATTTTTTTTCCTCTTTTTTCCGCGTGTTTGTGTGTTTGTATACGCGCGCGCGTGGTCGACGGCTTAGATCTTATTTGCCCTCGGTGTCATTCTATAATTTTACTTGGGAAGTTTCTGAGCGTAAATAACGAAAGAGGCGATGGAACCTGGGGAAAAACAAAGTTTGGGGAAGGGTCGATCTCCTACCTCTCTTCCCTATTTCTTTTCTTTCTGTTTGTTTCTCTTTCCGTTTTCCATTGAAGAGCGCGGCGAGTGACCAAACCCTGCTTGAGGCCTTTTGCTTGTATACAAGAGGCGCGGTGGTGTTGGGGATGTGGGGAGTCCCGGCACGTTTTTGGAGACCACGGCACTCAGAGGAGAACAGCAAGTCGGGGTCCGGGCGGGTTGTCTGCGCTACCTCACTCGGGGAACGAGTGGGGAAGCGAAAATTTTATTTCCCGTTTTCGGGCGGACGGAGAGGAGAGGTTGCAGGTGCTGCGTGTTTGTCCGGACGCACTTCCGGTCTGGGGAGAAAATGAGAGTGTGAGAACGATGGAAAAGAAGAGAGTGAGTTTGTGGTAAGGAACGGGGAGAGCGCTGCTTCCCTAAGTGAGGAAGTTTTAGGGAGTTTGGGGAGCAATCAAGGGTTTTCTCTCGTTTCTTTCTTTATTCTCGCTGCTGGTTGTTACCAGACTGTTTGGGCCGTAAACTGGTTGCTTCTAGGAGTGTGGGAAAGAAAAAAAAAGGGGGAGGGGGGAGGCGCAATCAGTGTAGGGGCCTTAGAAAAGAAAAGCTGCGTTGATCGTTGGCCGGGAAGCTGTTTGGTGCTCTGATCAGACTCGTTTGCGCAGTTTTGTGAGAACCGAAAATTGTTCGGGGCATTGAGTTTCGCCACCGGATGTTCTTATGAGGCTAACCAACCACGTGATCGGCGACCAGTCCAAATGTTTTGAAACTGGAAAAACTAAATTTCTTCCTCAACAACGCACACACACTAAAAAGAAAGGAAGGTAGCAGTATTAAAGAAGAAAGCAGGGTTAATGTTAAATACCCCCCCTTTCCACCTTCGCTTTTAATGTCCAGTTTTGTATTAATACCATCATTCTTTCTTTTTTCCACCGGTTGGCAGTATCCTGATTGACTCCGATTGATTGATTGACATTCGGATAGCCTGCCGTATAATGGGAACGGCGTGGCAGGGGTCGAAATGTCCGCCTTTCTCGAGCACATCGACCTCATCGAAAGTTTCATGGAGGTGCTGGTCTCAGTCATCTCCTTAGTGAATGAGAGGGCAGCATTGCGCATTGAGAACGTCAGATTGAGAATGGCAGTCGTACTTTGCTCTTCTTTGGTTGTTAGCGACGGGAAAGCTCGTAATTTTGTAAAGCGCTTTGTTTTCCATTATTCTACATCTTTCGTTTCATAAAGAAAACCTCGTGTGAGAAAAAAAAGAAAAGTAGAGGAACATAGAGCCACGGTTATAATAAATAAGTCCGGTCTTAAGGTGCCAACTGGCACAGCAAAACCGATTTCGCGTGCTCGCCAAACATCCGCGAAAATGAGCGTTCCGCGGCAATTGCAGGTGTTTCGCGTGATTGGAATTTCGCCTCTGCAATGGCCCGCTTCTTGTGCCTCCTTATAACTTCCTTATCCCTTTTTTCCTTCCTCTCCTTCTCTCCTCAATGTCTCTCTTTCGCTTTTGCTCTTCCCGTCTGTTCAGTCTCGCGGCCCGTCTTAACTGGACCCTCTGGCGCCGGGCCACGGGACCCGATTGTTGTGTTTTGCTGTGCAGCCTGTGCTTTCCTACAGCGTTAGAGAAGAATCAGAGAGAGAGAGAGGAAAGTACGGGAGGTATACCCCGTTCAGCGCTAAGCTGACGATGCGGTGAAAGTCACGTGCTCGTTTAACCAATCGCACGCCGTTCGGTTGTTCACGTGATCGCGCTCCCACCCATGCCCACGCGCAGAGAGCGTGTTCAGCTGATGAAAGGGAGGCTGTTGATTGGTTCGCACAAGGCGTATCTCCCACCGCACCGTCAGCTTAGGGCTGAACGAAGTACAGCGGGAGAGGGCGCCGTTCGTTATTTATACATACGCGAAGAAGCGTGGCCCGAGGGCCGCTAATGAAAATTCCGCCCTCCGTAAATTGGATCTGGGCTTCGTGACGAGGTTCCGCTGGGCCCCGGGTATAATTTAGGGCCTTTCTGGGCCCAGAGGAAGCGCGGGCCGAAGAGGTGACTCAGGGAGAACGGAGGGACCGTCCCTGCCCGGAATCCTTTCCTTTGTGACGTCAGATGTCGCTGCGCCTTCCGCCAGGGGGCGCCGGCGCCGAAGGGTGCTGCGTATTACCGTTAAAGGCTTAACCTCTCTGTTTCGCGTGTTAGGTAGAGGTTATTTGATTGTATTAAAGAACTTTGGATAGGTGGCGCAAGCTGCCGCCCGATTTCATGGCTTCAGCTGTATGCGTGCATCGATCGTCCGTCAGTGCCCGGGTCTGACCTTGCTCGATGTCAGGGATCTAAGAGTGCTAAGTTGTTTCCGGTGTCCGACACCGAAATGGATGCGGCAAGAGGTGATGCGTCAATGCAAAGATAGGATTTTTTTTTGGACATCACTGATCTAGCAGCGTTGCGATCACTCCCGGTGTTAGGCGTTCTACGACGTCGGACGTATACGCCGTTCAAACGAAGCTGCACACACGCTTGACGAGTGACGCTTGGTCGGTCTGTGTGTATGACGCACAAATTAGTAAAACAATGCTTCAATTCCGGTCTTTTACCTTTGTCACGTCACTCGCATGATCCTTACACCACTTCCGTTGCAGGCCCTTTCGCTACTTGAGATCTTTTCCTGTCCGTGCAAGTGCGCATCAAATGCCTTTACAGACTTTTCTGCCCTTTGAACTCAACTTGAGACTGTCATCACGTAAAAACACTCCCCAAAAAAAGAAAAAAAAACAAAAAAAAAAAACGACAATAAAGTTTGGTGCATCAACTGCTGAGCATGGATTACGTCACGAATCTGTGCTTGTCATACGTGAGTTCGCTCGAGGTTGACGCCAGAAGCGTTCGTTACGTACAATCTACGCCGATGTGGCCTTCACAGTGCACTGCTTGTTCCTTTGATGTTTTATATGAAGAGATCTAATGAAAGTTCATAGTGTTCTAAGTCTGTCTTTGCTGTTTTTTCTTTCTCAATCGCCAGTGGTGTCTGTGCGGCTGGTGGAGACGTGGGCCGCGTCGGAGATTCGGTTCCCGGCCCACGAGGACGTTCACGGGACCGTCTGGATGAGGATGCAAGACTCGCTCGTCTTCCCGCCCCAGGCACTGCTGGGAAGCGCACGTAACGGTAAGATACACGCAAGAAAAAAAAACGAAAATACGCTGTCCTTCGCGCTTTTTGATTTTATTATGGTGAGACTGCTTGGCATTAGTGCAAGAGGATGCAATAATGCTACCATTAGCGCGTTATTCTAATAGCTGAAGGACTGGGTGCATGGAATAGGGGTGCATCTCCCATATATTGCTTAAAAAATGAGATAAATGTCACCAGAAATTGACTGGAAGCCTGCTCTGCTGAAGCATGACATCGAAGAACGCAAAACCGCACAGTTAGTTTTTAGGCTATAAAATAAAACTGTTTTTTTTTTTGCAGATCCCGTGTTTTTTTTTTTTTGCGTGTACTTTGTGTCTTTCTAATTTTAGCGGGAAAATTTATTTGCTAAAGTTAGCGGAGAATGGCGGTGTCGGGACATTGTGACGTCGCATTATCAAGTGACGTCACGTCAGGTGACGTCACAGTTTCCCCGTTATATTTAACGAGGAAATTTCTCCGCTAAATTTAACGGGGATTCGCGGTGTTGTGACGCCAAAGTTTCACGTGACGTCGTGTTACACGACCTTTTTTTTAATTTAGAGGGAAAGGTTTTCCTGCTATATTTGGCGGAAAATTTTTCTCCGCTGAAATTAGGAGAATTTAGTGTTACTTAACGTCATGATACCGCGTGATGTCTTGGCGTACGTCACATGCCATCGCAGTGTCATATGAACCCACTCCTGTAAATTTAGCGGCAGGAAAGTTTTCTAAATTTACACACGGCAGTGTAACTATGTGCAGCAGTGTGGAGTGTTTCGGTTGTCGCCGTAGTTAATTTGCAAGACAAAAAAACAAAAAAAAAACATGATTTTTTTTAAGGCTTGTTTGTGCTTAATCTTTTAAAATTTTATAAGAATTACAACGCTCCGGAACATCGTTTATGCTCATCTCGCTTTCTCTTTCTGCGTTTGCATGCGGTCACGAGCGTGTGCGCTTAAGATGTCTTTCTTTCGCTTTCAGGAGTGGTGAAGTTGGTGTTTCTCGCGTACCGCAACATCGAGGATTTTCTCGGTCCGGAGTTGCTGTCTTCGTCGGAAGCCTCTTCGTCGGACAGGATCATCAACTCGCGCGTCATCGCGGCGTCGGTCAACAGCCACCACATGCTCAAGCTTCACCAGCCTGTCCTCATCACTTTTCAACACAGAGAGGTTCGCATCGTTTAGTTTCACTTTCGAAACTTCCGAAACTCCTGTGTTGGCCGCCATTTTTGATTAGTTCTGAAGTCAGCCAGGTTCCGTTACTCGAGCGAATCGTGTGTGAGTAACCGCCTTCTGGGTGATGCCCAGTTATGAGGTTATGACTGTTGAGATGACGATTGAACGACGTGGAACCGAGTTTTGTTGCTCACTGCCCCGCTTGCGCTATGGTCTGTTGCGGGTTAAGAATAGCAGGTCAGGCCCCTCCCAAAAAGCTTTATGTCACCATGACTGGCCGTTTCCTCCTCTCCACTCCCCTAATCTACAGCATTCGCTCTGCTAAATTGGAAAGGGTGGAAGACTTCGTGGGAGGGGCTTATCCTGCTATTCAAGCGATAGCTTTAAGGCGACACTTTGCAGAGATTTTGACCTCGTGGGCTGTCATCGCCGCACGCGCGAAGAAGGAAAAAAAACTTTCCTCCCCTCTTGGTGCAAGGAGAGGGAAGTCGGGACTTCGATCGGCCATGCCGCGCGAAAAGAGCGACGAGGGCAGCGTCGTGGCGTCCCACCAAGAATGGCGCGACGAAGGAAGAATATTCGTGTCGTCCGCCTCAAACGCTTGTTTCCAAACATTCCTCGCGTTTTGCGAAATCCCGCTTTGGCAGTACCTAGTTACTACGCGCAATGTTGGATGGTTTTAGGAACTTGTTTCACGGATCACTGGTGGCGGTCGTCAGTAACATCCACGACGCCAACCAAAATGGCTATGAGAATTAACCGCGCCGCACCTTCGTCCTCGGTTACGGGACGGCACTATTCCACCCGCACTGGGCGACCGTGCTGCAGCTATCGCTTTCGTTTCTTCGGACAATGTAAGCGAAAAATACGATTTTTTTTTTCAAACAACACACTACAGCCGCCTGCCAGGCAACTTCTGCCTCTTTCGGTCGTTTTACGCACACATCTATTCGAGTCGCTCGTGTTTCGTTAGCGCTAGGATGAATACCCGAATAATCGCTCTGCTTAGTGTAGTACAGGCAGTGACTATCGCTCCTCCCTCTTAGTGTCAACCAATATCATTTCGGTTTCGTTTGTTTTAGGTGGAAAATGTCACGAATCCAAGATGTGTCTTCTGGAGCTTCGATGCCGAGTGAGTATTGTCTTCCTGAATTTTAACGTAAAATACGTTTTCTTCGTTCGGGAAGTGATTCTGAAGAGACCGTAAACTTCGCTTCCAATTTAGCGGGAAAGCTTACTACGTCACGCGACAGGACCACGTGACGTGAAGTATCGGTTTCATGTGACACCTGTGGGTGTATTGTCCCTTAAAAAGCGCTTAACGGGGGCGTTTTTTTTTTCTTGGAGTGGGGGTGGGGGGTACATTTTAAGAGTAACAGATAAGGGACCAGTGTGTCACGCTAGCGTTTCTCACGCTGATGCCGCGCTTTTGTCTTTGGAACTCTACAGGGATTGGTTGACTGAGGGTTGCTGGCTCAAAGAAACCAACGAGAGTCACACCCTCTGCGCTTGCAATCATCTGACCAACTTCGCGCTGGCCATGGATCGCAGGCCACCCAAGGTTAGCGGGTCCTCCGTACCATTGATTACGACGCAAACTCGTGGTGAAAGGACCTCATGTAATCCCTTGTAGCTTAAAGTGAAAGTAAATGGTCCAATATCTGGTAAAAGGTTGGAGCAGTGTCCGGTAGATCACTGTTTGGTGGAGTATTGGATCAATATCCGGTAGAATAGTTTTAGTAGCAGACAAAAAATAAGAACAAGAGTGTGGGGTATTTTATTTATCCAGGTAATAGGTTTCTTAAGGCCTGCCACAAGCCTGACCTAACAAGCACTCGTGCTGGTAGCCATCGTGCGTTGCCCGGATTGTGACCTTCCATTTAGCTGTGGATGCAGTGGAGATAGTCTCGAGACATTGACTTACGAACCAGTTGGTTATCGGTTGTCGGTCCGTTCTGTGATGCTTTGGCGGAAATCGCGTTATCGGCATTGCAACCCATTTAGCGGAGTTTCGATATGTGAACCTTTGATCCGAGTGTTTTCTGTTTTCGATTCGTTGCAGCTGTCGGCATCGGAGCAGAAGTTGCAGCTCGTCGTGTACGCGTCTTTTGCCACCTGCATGGTCCTCTTAATCGCAACGGGCCTGACCCTCCAAGCCTTCAGGTGGGTCGCTGGAAGTGTTCCGAGGGATATGCCGGTCGCACATCGGTTGCGTTGCCTTCCATAGGTGCCAAACATTCCTTACTCGTTACTGCTACCACTGATAACGTTTTCTGAAAGGTTTAAAAGTTTGCTGTAATTCGCCAACTGAACCTGACAAGTTGGTAGCAGTGGAAGGACTATAGAGCGAGAGGGATACGCAGCGGGACCGATTATACAAAGGTCCAGAAGATAGCACAAATCATGTTGGCCTAATTATGTCGACGGTGCCAACGTGAGCTGTTTTCAGGCTCATGTCAGATCATGCTTGAGACGTGTTCGCAGACAACTTTGTCGTCGTATCTGCAGCGAGCACCGAGCAGTGTGAACGCACTGACCAACAGGACGTCGGACGGATGAAGACACCATACACGTGCCTTCCTGCCTGTCCTCGCTGACTATACTCTGTCCCGAGTTAACCGTTCCCGCATCTCCCGCCAGGTCCCTGAAAGGCGAGCGGGTGACCATCCACAAGAACCTCTGCTTCTGCCTCCTGCTCACCGAAGCCCTGCTGGCCAGCGGACTCGGGGGCCATCCTCACCGCGTCGTCTGCGGCGTCCTGGCGGGCTTCCTGCACTACTTCTGGCTCGCCTCGTTCTTCTGGGTCCTTCTGGGAGGCTTCCAGCTGTACACCGTGCTCCTGGACGTCCTCGGCACGGAGCCACCGTCGTCCAGACTGCGCTGGTACTACCTCCTGGCGTACGCGGCCCCGGCGGTTATCGTGTGCGTGTCCGCGGGCATCAGCCCCGTCAGCTACGGCGTGGTGCCATTTGCGAGCGGTACCGGACGCGGCGCCTGCTGGATCGACATGGAAGGCTACCAGCTCTGGAGCTTCGTTGGACCCGCAGCCTTCTGCGCACTGGTGAGCGTCGTCCCCGGTCATGGGCAGAAAAACAAAAACGTATAATTAAGTTTTCTGGTTTCCGCTGTTTAGTTACTTAATTCGATCCAAGTAAACGAGAATTAAGGGGTAACAAAGTATATAATAGAAGAAATAGAGTGGAGTAAGAATAGACGCTCATTTAGATGCTTCTTTCACTACACTCTTCGCTTATTGGGGATATTGAAGGAGAGGAAATCTACGGGAAATAATGAGAAAAGTAAAAAGCAGTTCACGGGAGCTAGAAATAGGTAATACGTTTCAAGGTAAGATATGTCTGTGCGGTTGCTTGAGCTTTCTTTTAACGAATACCCCCCAATGCCGGTGTTACCGCAGCCGCTGTCTAGTATGTTCTTATCTAAGTCTAGCGAAGTTTTGGTTCATACCTTTTTTCCAGATTTGTTAAAAAGTAAATAGGCATATACAGTTGAAATAAAAATTTACTATTAACAAAAAATAAGACGTAACGACTAAGCATTGTTTTTTTTTTTTTGACGTAGCGTTGGGTACATTCATGTGCGCGATGTAGTAGGATAGTAACCGTTTCCTTTTTCTTGTCTCGCAGCTGTGCTTGATCTTTCTGGCACTGGTGTTCTGCAAGGCGCACCGCCGTGTGGATCCTCACGCCACGCTCAAGAGCAAAGAACAGGAGAGGATAGCAGGCACCAGGTACGTCAGGGCGCCACACTTGACTGCTTCGCTGTCGTCCCTGACCGCTGCAGGAAAGGCGGCTTTTTTTGTGTGTGTGTTTGCGCTCCTCCTTGCATTCTGATTGGTTCCTCGATGTTCTTATCGGTGAATCCCGCCGTCTGATTGGCTGCGCTGCGATATATATACGAGAGGCTTGAAATTCGCCGCCGCACCCTGCGCGCCTTTCGGTGACTCTATTTGACATTTCTTATACTATCGATATCGAGCGGAGTGTGACGAGATACGTTGTGTAATTCCGTTCCTGTCGGTTCAAAACGTGAACTGACGTTTGTACCTGAGAATAAAGGGAAAAGGTTTATACGTGCAACTGCCTCGCAAGCTACTTTCCCGGTTAACGGGTTAATAATACACTTACCATATTTATATTTCATAAAAAAAAAGGTCAATTGAGTGGCTGCGCGTCTTTTACCTAGTGTGTCTAAGTGAAGTTCGTTTTTAAAACTGTAATGATTTGGAAAGCACGCGTAAAATTTATATTTGGAAAGAAGCGGCGTTGATCAGAGAAGGCATTCGCTCAGCGAGCCATCGTTAACTTAAATATCTAGAATTCTTAGTTCGTGGTACCGACAAAAATGAAAGTCTGCGAGATTGCTGTTTTTTAGGTAATTTTTTTTTTCTGCTATGTTATTCAGACCATTATTTCCGCCATGTATGCGAACCTTATCGTAATACTGATAGGGCAAAGCCGCAATTTTGTTTTCTAATCCTTAAAAAAAAAAAATACAGTAAGGTGGGAAGCTTGCGTTATGCAACGGTTTTAAAATCCCATCTCCCGTCTTGCGCAACTGCCTTTTCTTTCTTTAGCCACACCATTAGAAAGCGGTAGCTTCGTGCTACGCGAGGTCTTCATTAATCCTCAAAACTCGCCTTCGACGTAATAATATTTAAAAAAAAAAACATAATGTGAATGAGTACAGAGAGCACCTATCTGTAAATATCTTGCTGCTCAAATTACACTTGGTCTCGACTACGGTAAGTGCACTAACAGAAGCTTGTAAAACTCGCGAAGTGGCTCAATATATTTACGAATCGAGCCGTTTCAGAAACGTGCTTTTACGTAACGATCAGTAGCCCCTGGACAGCCGCGCGCTATTTCGAAAGGGACCCTCATTTCCCAGTTAACGAGACCCACGAATCCATCGCCAATTATAGACAATCCAAGAAAGAAAAAAAGTGGAGCCGTTGAAAGAGTTACTTTTTACTCAGGGTTTCTTTATATATATGTACATATGTATAGTTAGTATTTTTTCTGGACGTTGTTCCTTACTGAAGAATCCGAAAACAATAAATTTCGTGCGGGATGGAAAACGTTGGAGGGGGTTGGAAACTCGAGATTCAGTTCCACCATGTCACGTTCGCTAAAAAGCCAACGGATTAAAAACAGGGAACCCTTTTTGTATAAAATCTTAATAAATGATTTCGGTGCGAAACAACTAATGGGAGTTGTTACAGTTTTTATGATGATGCAATTAATGCAAAGGTGGAAGCGAACTGGAATAGAATGTCGATAATAGCCCCCGGAGAAGGGGAACAAGTGGACGAAGGACCAACACAAATCTCCGAACACAGCTAGGTGACTGGTGCGCGACTGAAAAAAAAAATTGCCTGGTCCTGGTATCGAACCCGGGACCTCTCCATTTCCAGTGGAGTGCTCTACCAACTGAGCTAACCAGGAGTTAGACGCCAGTAGAGCAACGGATTTTATCTCCTGCCCCCAGTCTAACACCAGCAAGGGTGAACAGCTTGCATTTGTTTTTAGGTTAAGATGATAATGTAATTATATGCCAAGGTGCAAGCGAGCTGGTCAAGAATTACGAAACTAATCCCTGGGGAAGGGGAACAAGAGGGACACAGGTCAAACACAGCTAGGTGACTGGTGCGTGACCGAAAAAATTCGTGGCCCCGACGGCACCACGCCCCGTGGAGAAATAGTGCAACCAACCACTGCTGCGCTGTCCTCGCGCAACGCAGCAGAGGCTGGTTGCACTAGTTCTCCACGGGGCGCGGTGTTGTCGGGGCCGAGATGCGCTCCGATTGAAAACCGAAACTTAAAAACCCGTCGAATTTGTGCGGTTTTTCAGAAAACCGTAAATAGCTGCGCGTGCCTTCTATCGTTCTATAATTTGTTGATTTGGCGTTTTTCGATGATGCTGAGCAATTTTCTAATTGAAACCATGCCCTTAAACACAATGTTAAAACAGTTAATTACGCAAAAATAATTTACAATCTAATTATCCGGGACTTTAATAATTTTCCTAAATAGGCCCCTGGCCCAGGACCAAAGCGACACAGGCTTTTTTATTGTTGCGACGAGTAGTTTTCGCAATTTCGAATTTGTACGTCTTTCGCGAAACACCATGTATATAATAGAAAATCACTTAGCTGTGTAAAATTCCCTTTGCGGTACGTTAGCGTTAATATTATGCAAAAAACAAAAAGTATCTACTTTGAAATAGACTTTCTAAAAAAATCATTTTTTATTTCTTATTTATTTATTGCAAGAATTTTTATGATAGTCTTCTACTAGAAAGTGTGTTTTTTGTTCGTATGTTTTATATTTAAGCCCCAATATTGTAAAAATCGGGTTCGTTTCTCAAGACCTAATACCGCCCTTTGTGTTTCTTTGAATTGTGAAAAAATATTTGTTGCATTTTTGTCCGCCTTTCGAAATCAAACATAAACGCAATCTTGCGGTATTGAATGATTATTTTTATTTTGGTAAGAGCGGGAAACCACGAGCAGCATATCTAATGAACCCAGCGGGCCTAGTTGACTTTCAATATCAAAGAGGTGCAGACGTTGTATTGCTTTGATTTATAAAACACTCAGTGGAAACTAGCTTGACTAGCCATTATGTGTCACATTACTACGACATAGAAAGTCACCACACTATCGATGTGTTATGTGCAAACCAATCGCTAGGGTTTGTTCACCGCACATCGCCAGCTGTTGACGACACGGTCTTTCACTTCCGTAATACGCAAAAGTGAGGACACAGAAGCGGTATAAAACACACGAAGAGATACACGGCACATTCTTCGAAGGGAGCATATTAATGAACGAGTTAGATGTAACTCTCAATTAGTTCGAGGTTTTTGGCAGTGTCTATATGAGCTACTCTGACCACAGTTGAACCGTTGAATCTGCCGGCACGCACTCACTGATGGTTAGCGAGCATTCGGGACATAAAGCAGTACGCGTTATCATTTTGTGCCATAGTCTTAGCAGATATGTTCGTTTACTCTGGTTGGTGTTGCACAAACCTTTTCTATGAGACGGCGGTGAAGCTGCCTTCCTCCTTCCGCTTCCTTCATACGTGTGAGGATCGAATTCCTCTGGGGGGACTTTCCTTCTCCTCCTCTTTTTAATTTTGATTCTCGGAAACGGGTGATCTCCTCTTGGCATAATGGGAGCAAAAATAATTCCTTTGATTTTTTTTTTTTTTTTAGGTTTGAGCACTTTAACTTAGGCTTGCTCGTTTGTTATAGAATTCAACTCTGTAGTTGATAAGTCATGAATTGATGCATGATGCTTAAGCACACCGCCCACTCCGTTGCACGCACTTTTTCCATGCCCTGACGCTGTGTGTATCCATTTGGTGGCGACAATCTTTTTCTTAAAAACTCGTACACCTGGTGACTGTTTTTGAAGTGGCTCGGGAGCGCCGTCCGTAACGTAAACGAGCTCAAAGGAAGTAGGTAGAAGTTCCTCCAGCTGCCCTTGGATGAAGCTCAGTGCAAACACCGGATGTGCCGAGTAATGCCAAATGTCGTCGCTCACAACACCAAAGCTTAGCGTTCCTTGCTTGGTCGTAGCAACGCGGGTAAAGATAGACACCGCATTGTTTTTGCAATGATATCCCTATACGGCGCGTGTTTTATCACAGCCCTCCAGTTTTCAGCAAAATCGAAATGCAAAAGCATAGTACGTGACTTTACGTGCGCTTTCTCGAACCATATTGATTTTCTTTGAGCACACCGGATATAATTGTGGGGAATATACTTTTTCACCCACCTTTCGGACTGGTTGAGGAATGCTATGGCTCCCCAATGTATTTTTTAACCAACTCGCCACCACACTCCCACAAGGCCAACTCTAGTTCGTCTTCGAGTTCGACTCCTTGGCATAGCAAGATATACATTCTTCTTATTGGAGCAGACTTCGCATGCTAGCAGGAAACAGTCTTTTGGAGGGTTTTCACCGAGGAACAGTTTCTGAACGTCTTCAAAAGTCACAGTCCGTTCAGTTGCACCCGAGAAGGAGGTATGGCAGAGCGAAAAGTTAGCGCAGGAAACGCTAATGCATTCTTCGTGAACTGTTTTTTTTTTTTTTTTTACCCATTTGGGACGAAGAAAATAAAACTTCGTTAAGCCGATCTTTGCTTCCAGATGAGCTCCTTTGAATTCCCTCTAAGTTTTCCTAATGGATCGTATCAAAAACCGCTTAGTGACCAATGCTTCTTGACCGTGAATAAAAATAAGCACGTCTTTCTTATTAGGGCTTTGCCTTGTGCAGTCAGTGGCATCAGACATGTAACAAGAAAGCGCCAGTGCGATATCCTTTTTGTTTAGACTCTAGATGATGTCCCTCATACAAATCAGCTGCAGCTCCCTCGACTTATCCAAAGTGTGCTTCGTGGCTTCGAGAATACTTTTCATAAGATCTTTCTTTGAATTATAAGATGGCAAGAGGGATAGCAGGCGATAGCGTTCTTGCTGTGACGTGCACTTGGCATGGGTAACACGCAAATATGCTCATCCATACTTTTCACGAGGAAGGCAGCTCCCTCTGATTCACATCTATGGGAGCTTCCTTCGTGGACATCACTTAGTTTACGGCCAACATTTTATCGGAAACCCTCAGTAGCCTCCAACTGGTTTCGCTTACCGCGACTCGTGCGAATGGTAGGACATACGTTAGATGCACGTTCCAATGGATTGACACTCACTTCTGCAGCCTTGATCGTCTCAGCCACTCTTTGGAGCAGGAATTCCTCGTCGTTGATTGACGTGTCCGCTCGTGGCAGGGATGGCGAGGATGAGGTCGATGATGGCGTTTTTTGTTCTCGCTGAAGTTCTTCGATGTCGCTGCGAAATCTCCTGAAGCAATTTCTGCAGAGCGTGTCTTCGGAACTTACACTCTCGGCGCCCTCAGCCGGCAGCACCCGTTTCAGCTCGGCTCTGAAACCTCATGTACAAAGTGCCCGCAATCGATTTTGCTTTTTTTGCCTCTGTAGATAATCGACACAAATTAGCCAGTGTTCACTGAATTTGTCAATCGTGGCTCAAATCTGCACTTCTGGCTTTTATGAAACGCAGGATGAGATTCCATTCACGCCGACTCTGAGAAAGAGAGTGAAGAATAGATTGGAGCAGTGGCAGTTTCCTGCGCGAGAAGGCAACCCAGGCGTAACATGCCTCGAGCTCCATATGGGGAGAGGAACTTTCGATGTCAAACTCCCTCTCTTCCCTCGCCTTTTTCACAAGAAGACGTCAGCCGGCGCTAACTTTTCATCTCAGTTGCAGGCCACTCTTCACAGACGGTTATCGTTAACAGGGAGCCTGACTCGACGCAACTAGTTTCCGTGCTTTGCTGTTTCCAAACGAGATAACCCTTCGGTGCTATCGGATCCTTGCGGATAAAGCAGAGATAGAAGAGGGTCGTTCCAGGAATAAGGTTGGCTAGTTTCTCTGTCATCATTATCATCACCATTAAATGAGGAAAAAATATAACCGGATGGAAGTAGTTCTTTTTTTTTTTTGTATCTGGGAACGTTTAAAAAAAGACAAGAATATTTTCGTGTGTAAAGACGCGCAATGGGGTAAGTCCGTTTCGAGCTGTACAAACACGTTTTTCTACGATATTGAGGCTTAAATATGGAACTGTCGATCTAAATAAGACTTTCTCGACTTTTCTTTCTAGTAGACAACTATCACATCTAAAATCTATCAAAGAACAACAACAACAACAACAATTAAAAATGGGTTGTCTGAGAAAATTGACCTCAAAGTTGATACTTTTTGGTTTTTGCACAAAAGTAACGTCAATATATCGTAAAGAGAATTTTACACAGCTAAGCGATTTTTTTATCATATATGAAGAGCGTGTTTTGGGCTTCTCATCGACGTAAGAAATGTCGATGTAACCGAAGTTCATCACAGGTGTCTAATTGTTAAAGTTCATGAAAAATTAACCGAAGGGGTCTTTTTGACATTTATAGGGAAAACTAAGCAAAACGCATAAAACTATTTCATGGCATTAGAGCCTTTTAACTCTACTCACAGAGTGGTTAAAAAAAAGTTAATATAATGCAGGCTGAAAATCCACGCTGGGAGATTGAGGGAAACATACGACCCAGGAGGGATGTGAAAAACGCTGCTTTCCGCCGCGTCCTATTTTAAGCTTCATAAGTCGAGAATGAAAGAGCCCGACGAACTTGTGGTTTGTGGCAACTGCGTTTTTTAGAGACGCCGCCATAACATATATTTTCTTTTTTGGCGAAATTCAAAGTTCTATCTTTTCTGCCTGCACGATTTGAAATGAAATCACCCGTGTGTGTGTGTGCATGTGCTGTCGAGATTGATGATAACGAAGTCAACGGGAATCGGAAACAACTTTGCTATATCCGCTATTTCGTTACAACCGACTTCAATTAACGAATTGCAAAAGGAAATGGGAAATCGTGATCGCTTTGCTGTAGCCGCTATTTCGTTATAAGTTATAACCGAGTTCGGTTATAACGAAGTGCAAAAGGGTATGAGAATTCGTGATCACTTCGCTGTAGCCGCGCTTTCGTTATAACCGACTTCGTTATAACCGGTCTCGACAGTATGAAGGAAATATGCTTCAGGGATGCTTGCGTCGTGTCCGCAGTTAAGTCTCATCACGTCTGCGGCGCACGCAGTGTTTTTGTATGCGTGCACGAAAAAAAAAAAAAAAGTCGGCAAGTACAGGGGAGAAAACACGCGCATCTTAGAAGCGGTTCTGACTTGCTTCCCTCTTTGGGGCGGGGTTGCCCTCCCTTGTCCTTCTTCTAGATCCCTGAGCGTGGACTCGTCGCTGGTGCTGGTCTCGCTGTGCCTGGCGAGCGCCTTCGCCCAGCTCTACGTGTCCCGAGGCACGCAGGTGCACAGCTGCGTCTTCGCCGTCCTCAACGTCGTCCTGGGCGTTGCCGTCCTCGTCTTCTGCTGCCTCAGGAACGACAAGGTAAAGGGCCAACTCTGTGTTGTCAAACAAGTCCGCGCTCCGCTTACGCAGAAACCAAAATCGGGAGGAGTGAAGCGCTTGCGCTTGCGCACTTCTGACAGCACGCTATTGGCCAACCCGGTCGGGGGTTCTCTTGTCGCAGCAGTGTCTCGAAAACCTACACCGCAGATTCCCCAAAATACGCTCGCAAAAAAAGAAGAAAAAAAAGAAAAGGAAAAAAAAAAAGCGAATTTGCAGAGATGAATGCACGACTCTGTCGGTACGCTGACGCGGTGTAGCGCTGCTGTCGGCATGGCGCACGCGCGGACAATCTTCTTCCCGTTACGCGTTGTCGGTAGATGGCGCTACAAGTCAGTGTCGCCTAGAGTTCCTGTATATGCTACCTACGGTAGCAGAGTTGCGCATTCAGCCTCGGCGCGTGGCCGTAGCGCCGGCTCTCCCGCACGAGCTGGATGCTTTGCTCCTCACGTGACTAAATTTGGCGAATAGCTGCGCCGCGCGCGCCGCCGCGCATAGAAAACAGGAGAGGAGGAAAAGGAGGCGGAAAGCAGGGAAACATACGCCGGGGCAAGAGAAACGTCGGTGGAGCGACCGTAAAGGTGGCTTTCTTGCACGCCAACGGATGCTTTGCTCCTCACGTGATGGATCTCGGCGAATAGCGGCGTGGCGGCGCGGGGAAAACAAATGCGCAACTCTGGCTCCCGTAGGGAGCCTATACAGGAACTCTAGTGTCGCCCAGAGCCGTTTATCGAGAGAGTTTGGCCATACATTGGTTTGAATAGGCGAGCATCTCGGGGCCAACCACAGGCCGCGAAACAGCCCCTAGCGGTGGTCGTGAGCTCTAAATTTGTGACACGACTAATTCAAGCCGTTTTAGCGTCGCTAGAGTTAAAAGGTGTAACTCTCAGTGACTGAAATCTTTGTGCGTGCGAAGTTTTCGTCACGCCAACATTCAAGTGTAGAATAAACGAACGTGCGCTCCAAACCAGGGCCAACTTGCTAGAAACAGCGTCTCAGCTGAGACGGTGAAAGAAAGCACTGCCAAAGCCAGCGCACGAGCCGAGCGGGACACCGCGTCTCCAGGACGCTGTTCCGCTGTTCTAACAAGCCAACATCAGCAGTGCAGAGAAAGGCATGGGCACGAGCGCGTGGCTTTGGAAAGTGGCTCCTACGCACGAGTTCACATACAAACAAAAGCGTTTTGCTGAGCTAGGTTCACGCGCCTGTACCTTTGTCTTCACTGCCGACATTTGTGAGATGAGGCAGAGAGGCCGAGATTGAACGCCTCTATTTCACGCTTTGAATGTCGTTTGCAATATTCTGACGTCGCAGTCTCCTGATTGGTCGACGCTGTGTCACAAATTTAGTTTACGCTCTAAGCGCGGGGGGAATATTCGGCGCTGGCGGCGGCCTTTGCTCCGCCTGTTGGCCAAACTCTCCCAATACACGGCTCTGGTGTCGCCGCTAGCTCGATCGACTGGCGCACACGTCCGCCGTTGACCGTGGAACGTTTGTTGGTCTTCGTCTCTTACAGGAAGAGGGCTACTCCTCGAAATTTCAGGACGTGAAAGGCACCGCCTTGATGCACGTTCGGGGAGAGTTTGAGCATTTGATCTGCAGACGCCAATTTTTCCGGCTCGTTCTACGGCGCTAATATCTATTTAAGACACCCTTCACATGGCGTTTTGTTGAGGCCTTAAAGGACACATGCAAAGGAAAAAAAAATTTTTTTTAGACAGCTTAGATGGAAAAAGGATGTCATAAAACGATTTTACAACGAAGAAACAAAATTTTTAGAGCTATATTTACGGCGCTATACGAATTTGTAGTTGGCGCTCGCGGGAGCCGCCGCTGGTCACGTGGTAGGCCCGCGCGCCGCCGCGCTGCGTCGCCGTCGCACGCTGAGCGTTGTGCGAACGCCGCTTCAACGCGTTTCTCCACGCCGCCGTCGCCGCCGCCGCACAAGTTCGTCTGCTTCGGGGCGCCGCCGCCGTCGTCTGACCGGCGCACAGGTCTATCACGTCTGCTTGCGCTTTTTCAGGAGTTTCCTTTGGGCTCTAAAAGTTACTTATTCGTCTTGGTTTTTTGTTATACTTCAAACAAAGATGAATAAGTTACTTTTAGAGGCCATAGGAAGCTTCCGAAAGAGCGCAAGCACCACGTGATAAATAAAGACCAGTCACGTGATAAATACAGACCACTTTTCCGCGGTGCCCGCGGGCGCCAACTACAAATTCGTTTTGCGCCGTAAATATAGCTCTAAAAATTTTTTTTCTTCGTTGTAAAATTGTTCTATGGCGTCCTTTTTCCATCTAAGCCGTTTAAAAAAAATGTTTTTTTCCTTTGCATGTGTCCTTTAAAGGGTGTTTTTAAAAGGAAAGCTGCACTAATGCAGGTTGTGCAGATGAGTTATATGGCCAGGCGGACTTAATATGGGGGACTAATTGTCGCGACAAGTTGGTTAATTCACTCAAACCTTTTGACAATTTTTTATAAATGTAAGAAAACAATCGCATATGGCTTCCCTTAAAACGTTTGCTATCGAAAACCACCAAAGCAATGAATGAACGCGTAAACCTTATTATCATGAAATGAGTGATTTAAAAAAAAATTTAAAGCCTAAAAATACCTTATAATAATATTAATAATAATGATAATAGTTTATTATTTTCCTATAGTGCCCAGAACAGCTTTGAAGCAATTTCTGTTGTGCACTGTCAGTTTGTGTTTACAGCAACACTATTTATAATGTATGAAAACATGTGAAAGTACACGAATACAAGTTTGCGAGGCCGATACAACTCCTACACAAACTCCGAGTCAGATAAAATACACTTTTGCGAGGCTGGTATAAATTTAGCAAAATCAAGGAAAGTAATCCGATTCACAAATGCCTATGTTATTAAAAGCATACTGCATACGAGATGATGGTGGCGATTCACAAATTCTCTTGGGGAGGAATGTTAAAAAATGTTGGCTTGCTCCAGTGGGCACATGGAAGTCTATATTCACAAGTAGTCTCTCAGTTTTAAAAGTACAAAGCACAACCTTATGAAGAAAATGGATGTCTCTAATAGCTCTTCTCGTTGATAGCCTAGCAACGAATAGTAACTAAAAACAGTTTCCGACCAATGTATCGGTCGTAAATAATTCGAAGGAATTTCTTCTGCACATTTTCAATGATTTCAACTTGGGTTAAAGAGGGTGAGTTCCAACTAATTAAACCAAATTCAAGTCCCTAGCGTACGAGGCTGCAGTACAGACACACCACAGATAATGGTGAAATGAAAGAACGCCATGACCGACTGATCCTAACCAACTTTCTTTTACGCTAGAAAAAACTTAAAGCCGTTTACAACTCGCTGTAACGCCGAATTAGAGCGCAGGTCTTGAGGAGGAGGAGGGAAGGGTACTGAGGGTCACGTGTTTTCGGGGGGGGGGGGGGGGGGTTACGTGACCTCGGGGGAGGGGGGGGGGGGTGGGTTCAGGTAACCCCCCAGAAATATTTTGCGCTAGATTTAGCGGGGAAATTTTTTGCGCTAGATTTAGCGGGGAAACTTTCCCGCTAGATTTAGCGGGGAAATTTTTGCGCTAGATTTAGTGGGGAAATTTACCCATAATGCACCGCGCGGTTACGCCGACGGCGACGCCGCTCTAGCCGGAAACGGGCGCCTAAGAGCTGCGCTCTAAAAAAGTGTTTTCACCAGAGGTCGGCATTTTAGGTCGCCCTCACTCACCCTCACACCCACACTCACCTAAGCCCCTCACTCACCTTCACCCTCACAGCTACACTCACCTTCAGCCCCTCACTCACCCTCATTCTCACTGTCACACTCACCTAAGCCCCTCACTCACCTTCACCCTCACAGCTATACTCACCTTCAGCCCCTCACTCACCCTCATCCTCACAGTCACACTCACCTTCAGCCCTTCACTCACCCTCACGGCCCTCACGCCCCTCACTGCCCTCACGCCCCTCATCGCCCTCACGCACTCATGGCCCTCACGCCACTCACCGCCCTCACGGCCCTCACGCACTCATGGGCCCTCACCGCCCTCACGGCCCTCACGCACTCATAGATCTCACGCCACTCACCGCCCTCACGCCACTCACCGCCCTCACGCCACTCACCGCCCTCACGCCCCTCACGCACTCACCGCCCTCACGCACTCATGGCCTTCACGCCACTTGCCGCCCTCACGCACTCACCGCCCTCGCGGCCCTCACACCTTCACACCCTCACGCCCCTCACGCACTCATCGCCCTCACGCACTCATGGCCCTCACGCCACTCACCGCCCTCACGCCCCTCACCGCCCTTGCGGCCCTCACACCCCTCACGCACTCATGGCCCTCACGCCACTCACCGCCCTCACGCCCCTCACCGCCCTTGCGGCCCTCACACCCCTCACGCACTCATGGCACTCACGCCACTCAGACCAGCTTCAGATGGGGCCATTTCGCCCAGAAACTTGATGTTGCAACACCAGCAATACGGGCCAGCCGCGATCACCCGCAGCAACCAATTGCTGCAATTTGCTATCGTCATCATAAAACTTTATTTTTTTTGCACTATTTTTATGCATCTAAATCTCGTTAAGAATACTAATGCACCTTTCTGAAACAGTTTACTTCCAAAAACGATCGATTTCAAACCAGAACCAAGTCTTTCGGTGTCATCATCTCCGGCACGAGGTATCACGTGAAAATTTTGCGTCCCTGATTAGATGCAGCCGCTCTAAATGTCTTCGAATTGCTCCGAGTTGCTTGCTTATTTTGAGCCGGACCCGATCTCAGCAATTCGTGTCGATCTAGGGAAAGCTAGAGAACAACCCGCCATCAACACCAAAATTGCTGAGAAAGTTGCTCCGTCTGAAGGGGGCTTCACGCACTCACCGCCCTTACGCACTCATGGCCCTCACACCCTTCATGCACTCACCGCCCTCACGGCCCTCACGCCCCTCACGCCTCTCATGCCACTCACTGCCCTCACGCACTCATGGCCCTCATACCCCTCACCGCCCTCACCGCCCTGACGGCCCTCACGCACTCATGGCCCTCACGGCCCTCACCGCCCTCACGGCCCTCACTCACCCTCACACTCATGAATTTTCCTGGTTCAGAAACTCACTCATCCTCACCTCACCTATGAAGATGAGGGTGAATGAGGGTCCTCATGAGTGAGGTTTGCCGAGGTATGGTTTTCACAGTGTAGGTTCAAACCTGGTTCCCTGGTTTCAGGTGAAGCGGGCCCTGGGTCGGCGCCTGCCGTGCGGGTTCCCGGGCTCTCGCCTGGGCTCGTCGTCGGGCGGTTCGGGCCCCAGCCAAGACGCCGGCTCCCACCAGCAGGGGCTCTACGTGCACGCCAACGGCGTCGTGCTGCCCTATAGTGTGCGTAACAACTCCCACACTCCTACCTCTTTGTCGCCAGGTACTCCTCTCCTTCTTGGTTCCGTTGTTACGCCTCGTGATGACCCCCTTTTTGTTGTATACACCTTTCCATAGAGAGACCTAAGCGAGCAGGATGTGAAAAGGAAGAGCTCGTGGGCGCCGCCATTGCAACTTCCGGGCCGTATTTAGGTGTCGGAGCGTCAAAGCCTTTCCAAAATTCACTTCATTACCTTGAAGCTAGGGTCCTCCATATTGGAGAATCTCGCCTTCCGGTTCATTCTCAGAGGGAAATTTTGAAGCCACGTTTTTGAGTCAACTTGCTTTCGATCAGAAAAGGTTGAAATTTTAGTTCCTAACGAGTTTTGTTTCGTTTTGTTGGATGGAGGCTAGGTATTCGCTTTAGATACTGTGTAGAATTGCCCGGGCCGTAGACGGAATATGATGGAATATTTTGGCTCATTCCAGAATTACCAGATTCGAAAATCTGAGAAGAAACGCCCGGCTACGAACCAGTAGATGCAGGCAGTTCCCAGAGCCGCGCTCGCCAATAGAATTGGCAGGAGGATACTTTTCCAGCCTGCTGTTCTAGCAAAAGATAGCTGTATTACATGTTTTATATGTGGAGCTCTCCACTGAATAAATCGCGTCAGCTGCGACACATGTCTGTCAAAACAGTGGAACCGCGATGTTTGCAAAACTTTTAATTTCTGGGGTGCGTGAAAATGACGACAGAAAGTCTCAAGAACGACGCAATAATAAAAGCTTGCTGTAAGTGTAGTAATAATAATAATAAAAAAGGTGTACTGACAAGGAATATGAATACAACTATAATTCCTTTCAACGCCGCCAGTGGTACGACCCTCTGGAGCTGCTTTCAGCCGTCGCCAGATGGCTCTGAATTTTGGAAAGGGGCTTCCGCGCATGCGTAGAAGTTATGAGCTCAAAAAAGCTCTCGCCGCTTGTTTGGCCAGGTTATTTGTAAAGGTTGGAAAGGTATATATAAGCACTCGCTCGTATTTTAATTATGGTTTTTGTCCTGTTTACGTTGTGCCACACAGTGTTTGCTTTTGTTTTCTCTTCTTGCTGTTTTGTTTTTGTTTGACCCCCCCCCCCCCCCCTTGTTTGTTGTTCTTTTGCTTTTGTTTTGATTGTTCCTCGGGCTGTTCGCGTTTTGTCTTTCGTTTTGTGCTTCTCTCGCATTGCCACCGCCGTTTTCAGAATTGTCGACTGTTGTCACTGAATTTTCGCGCCTTTTACGCTCCGTGACTCTGTTAGCGCGAACAATGTCGCGCAGTGTACGCGGTGCGCTAAGTGCGGGAATAAATAAAAATAAGAGAGAGAGACAGAGAGAGAGAGAGAGCCGGAAGCGGAACAGAAATCACGATATATAAGAACAAGACACGACCGTCTCAACTCGGAATTGCATACAAAATATTCTAAGCTTTCATCTTTTGCATTTCGCTGAAATTTCTTTCTTTCTCTGATTTGTTCTCAAGGGAAGCAAAAACCATATACGAACGACATTTTAACTTTCGTTGCCCTAATTCCCCCCCACCCCCCCACAAAAAAGAAAAGAAAAAAAAACAAAACAGGAAGGCAAGAAAAAAAAAAAAGAAATGCTACTGGAAACACTTTACATATCCGAGAAAGGAAAGAAACAACAGCAGAAAGAAAAACAAAACAAAACAAGATGACGGTGTTTTCACGTCGTGCCGGCGTCACTTCCGGCTCATTCTAGCTACTTCCTGCGGCCATCATCTCGTTGTTAGCGCCGCCTGACGATACATTTTTGCTTCATCATGAAGGGCCTCTTTCTCAGTATTGTCTCAGTCGTTTCTAGCCCTAGTGAATTGTTTCTTTTACAGTTTTAAAGGTCTACGTGGTACACGGTACTGCTCTGATTTCTCTTTTATTCGTACCATATTCATATCAGGAAAGGGGAGGGGGAAAGGGGAGGGGGGAGGGCATGGCGTCTCTCCATCGTAATATGCGCGCCCTGGAGGGATACTCGTCTTTCTCCGACGCGTATCGCTAACTTCCGCTTCCGGTGGAGGCCTTGATCACTTCCGGTTCTCGTTGCGCGCGAGAAAGAGCGAGAAGAGTCAGCAGGCCGGGGACTCTGATTGCGTGCAACGCAGCTTCCCCTCATGACACCGCGATGCTTTTGTTTTATTTATTTTTTATTCTCTTTTTACGTATGGGCAGACATAAACATTGTTCATCTGGTGTTTTGTTAGCTCGTCTATTTATTCTGGCCAAGGACACAATTAAGGGTCCACTTAGTTTGAGCATAAGTTCCCGAAACCCGTCGTTATTTTTTGTAGTTTCTTTGTACAGCAAACGTAGAGAGACAAACAGAGAAATATGATTCAAGTAACACATATTTCTGGAACGGCAGCTTTAAGAAAATACAACCTTGTGTTGTAAGAAAAAAAAAAGAAAATCAAATTAGACTGCTTATTGATTGGGGAGAAAGCATGGTTGATGAAGACAAGTTATCACGCAATGACAAGATATACTGATACCGGATGCGATAGATCACATTACAATAACTGCTAGACGAATGTTGATGTAGGTTATCACTGACTAGAACGCCTAGAAATACCAAAAGAGAGCGTCTTTTGCCTGTGTTTTTTTACCTTGGCTATAAATAAGCACCCTTCGGTACTTCATATTTTTACTGTCAGTTTGCTTTGACAAAAAAAGGTTATTTTTTATTGGAAAATATTGCGTTTATATTGACGAATACTGGTGATTACATTTCCCCGAAACATTCAATCTTCCTATTCTTCTCTTTACGAAGCGACGAAGTGCGTTATCCATCAATCACGATTGGCAGCGATGTTGGAGTATATCCGATTTAGCAATTTGGTGGACTGTCATTTGCTCAACTTTTAACGGAGAGAGCAACGTTCAGTTTGTCATTGCTATCACCATGTGCCGGCTCTTTCGTAATTGGTGTGTGGCAAACAAGCAAAGAAAGAAAAATGCGCAACAAAATAAGAAGCAGTGGACCGCTTAAAACTTTTTTTCCCCTGGCATTATGGCGCTCAATTGTCTCCCTTTTGACCTAAAACAGCGACAAACAGAAACGCATAACATAATCTTTTCTTCACTCATAAAAATAATAATAAAAAAAGAGTTGAGTGAAAACCTTTACCGGGAAAGTGTTTTCATTGCACCCAAACCGAAAGTAGGAAAAGAGAGAAAGAAAAAAAGAAACATGTCCGGCCTTTTTCAAATTACATTTTAAGCGCTCCACCGTTTCACGTTTTAGCGGGTCTTTTTTATTTTTTTGAATGTGTGCCTATGATTTTTAATATTTTTACATATAAGAACGCTCGCGCACACACTTTTCGGAATAGAAACTCAGTTTCGCGAACTGTATAAACCCAAACGCAGCCTTGTCACCGCTCTCAGCTGCGACACTTCAAGAACTAACGAAGTGTAAAATAAGGTCCCGTCAAAAATTTAAAAGAGGGGAAAAAAAAAAGAAAGCCGGAGTCGCACTTCGCGTCGTTAAAAACGTTCGCTAACTTGATAAATGAAGGCGTCTACCCCCTTCAACATTCGGCACTCATAAAACGAAAAAAGGAGAAAAAGAACTCGAAGCTAAATACATTTAAAGGTCAGTGGCGCACTCTTGAAAAAGATATATAATAAAAAAAAAATGTCCAAGTCTTGGGGGAGTCTGCGGACGCTTTTCTGCGTACTCGTTTTTTCGCTAACTTAATTTGGCAACTCCCAGAAAACGTAGTTTGGGTTCACGACTTGCGCAAGCTTTCGCGTCTATCTACGAGTTTGAAATTGGGGATCGGGTGGGGAAAAAAATGGAAGAAGGGAAGAGTCGTTATAGCCAATGGGGTTCTTTCCCGGGCCCTCGGGGGACCAATCAGAACGGCTCCTGACGGAAACATACAAGTACAAAAGAAGGAAGAAAAAAAAAAAGCGGAGTCGAAATGGTCTTGGAGACGTAAAATATGGTGCGTTCCGTCGAGGTCCAACTGCGGTGTGGCGGCACTCCCGGTTAGGGAAGTAGGGAATATACGAAATGGGATGTTACCGAGAAAACATGACAATAAAAAGACGAGGGGAAAATGCGGGAAGGAGCTTTAAGGTAGGGAATATTGGAAAAGGTCGGAGGGGAAGAAACCTCGTTTTCTCAGATTTTTTTTCTTTTAAGGAAATGGTATACTCAAGATTTTCCCGTGTTGGTGTAAAAGTTGTTCTCAGACGACAAAAGAGCCCAAGTTCAACTTCGTCCCAATTGAGGGTATTCTTTTTTTCTTCTACTTCGTCTCTCTAGACTGCTGATTGTTTCCCCAATTTGGTCGGTTCTATTTCGTAACTTTCTTTAGCTTTTTCCCTCACGTTGTCCCTAATTTTTTTTTTCTTGGAGTTACGAAACTTGAGGACTCCTCTATGGCTACTTCAATTGTTTGGTCTTAATTTCCAATGTAATTTTCTTTTTATCTTCGTTTTTTTCGCACGAGATCTGTAACTGGGCTTTTGGGGGCAGCTCTTTCGCAATAGTTGAACCCGACTTAATACGACTTGTACATGGATTGCGTTCCTTTATGTGTCTGTCTCTGTGCGTTTGTGGAGCCGCGAGCGATTCCAACGCCGACGCAGCTGACCCTCATTGCCACATTCGGATAACGATCACGTCGGGGGGCAAATAAATTTAGGGAATCGTCGAACCGCGGCCCTGCGCAATCAGCTGAGACATTGCTACGACCTCGGGGCTTTCGATAGAAGTTGTGTAGCCGTAGCAGCTGAACAGGTTTATCAAGGGGAAAGAAAAACCAAGAAAGCTTGACTTCAGTCATCTTATCTGGCGGCGTTGGGAGGTGGGAGGTTGGATGATATTAGGGTGAGATTATCCGAGTGGTGTCAGGTTCGCCGACCTGACGTAATCAAGGAGCGAGTTCACGTTCCCGCTTTCTTTAAGGAATATAGTTCTGACCTTGGGGCGCACCCAGACTCAGAGGTCGGCATTTTAGGTCACCCTCACTCACCCTCACCCTCACAGCCACACTCACCTAAGCCCCTCACTCACCCTCACCCTCACAGCTACACTCACCTTCAGCCCCTCACTCACCCTCACCCTCACAGTCACACTCACCTTCAGCCCTTCACTCACCCTCACTGAACCTCACGGCCCTCACGCACTCACCGCCCTCACGCCCTTCACGGCCCTCACGCCCCTCACGCCCCTCACTCACTCATGGCCCTCACGGCACTCACCGCCCTCACGCCACTCACAGCCCTCACAATCTTCACCGCCCTCACGGCCGTCACGGCCCTCCCCGCCCTCACGGCCCTCACTGCCCTCACCGCCCTCACCGCCCTCATGGCCCTCACGGCCCTCACGGCCCTCACCGCCCTCACGGCCCTCACACACTCATAGACCTCACGCCACTCACCACCCTCACCGCACTCACGGCCCTCACCGCCCTCACCGCCCTCACGCCACTCACCGCCCTCACGCGCCTCACCGCCCTTGCGGCCCTCACACCCCTCACGCCCCTCACGCACTGATGGCCCTCGCGCCACTCAGGCCAGCTTCAGATGGGGCAAATTCGCCCAGAAACTTTACGTCGCAACACCAACAACACGGGCCGCCCGCGATCACACGCAGCAACCAGAATTAATTGCTGCAATTTGCCATCGTCATCATAAAATTTTATTTTTCTTGCACTATTTAGAAACAATTACGCGTTATAAACGTGTTTTTATGCATTTACATCTCGTTCAGAATACTAATGCACCTTTCTGAAACAGTTTATTTCCAAAAAGAACGATCGATTTCAAACCAGAACCAAGTCTTTCGGTGTCATCATCACCGGCACCAGGTATCACGTGAAAATTTTGCGTCCCTGATTGGATGCAGCCGCTTCAAACGCATTCGAATTGTTCCGAGTTGCTTGCTTATTTCGAGCCGGACCCGATCTCAGCAATTCATGCCGATCCAAGGAAAACTAGAGAACAGCCCTCCATTAACACCAAAATTGCTGAGAAAGATGCTCGATCTGAAGGGGCCTCACGCACTCACCGCACTCACGCACTCATGGCCTTCACACACCTCATGCGCTCACCACCCACACGGCTCTCACGCCTCTCATGCCACTCACTGCCCTCACGCACTCATGGCCCTCACACCCCTCACGCACTCACCGCCCTCACACCACTCACGCACTCACGGCCCTCACGGCCCTCACCGCCCTCACGGCCCTCACCGCCCTCACAGCCCTCACGGCCCTCACCGCCCTCACAGCCCTCACGGCCCTCACTCACCCTCACACTCATGAATTTTCCTGTTTCAGAAACTCACTCACCCTCACCTCACCTGTGAAGATGAGGGTGAGTGAGGGTGAGTGAGGGCCCTCATGAGTGAGGTTTGCCGAGGTATGCCCAGACTTCATAAGTAGGAGATAGCTCGCGGTACACTGCACGCTAAATGACCACACGAATGTTAGTTTAAGAAAAATAATATTGTCATCAACGTGAATCAACTGCCACGGGGAAAACGATGGTCGTTAGTGTCGCTGCTGTGCGGGCAGAAACTGGGGAAGAGGAAAAGATGAAAGTGCCGTGCTCTGGTTGGAATTATTTGTGGGCCGACCCGTAGCTAGCTGCCTTTTTCTCTCCTTACTCTTCAAACGCGTTTGAACGTCAAGTATCCGCGTTCAGCGTTCGAACACCGAGTAGAGACGTACTTTCGTTCTTTGTTTCATCGCAACTTGGCAAACAGCGAACGCTACCGCCCCCTCGAGAAATATAGGGAGTTTTCGTAGACCGCGTTTCCCCCTTCGCTAAGCCCCCCGCAACGAAGGAGCCGCTACTCCGCCTGCGCGCCGATGGGCCTTGACTGTAGAGTTTCGGGTATCGTAGCGCGTTGCGGAGAACGTGGCGGGACGGCGAAAAGGGTCTACGAAAACTCCCTAATAAGGAGTTTTGGTAGATCGTTTCTGCCGTCCCGCCACGCCCTGAGCAACGCGCTACGAGATCCAGGTTTCTTCAGTCAGGGCTAGCGGCGTGCAGGCGGGGTAGCGATATCTTCGTTGCGGATAGCCTGGCGGAGGGAGGAAAGCGGTTTACGAAAACTCCCTATTAGGGAGTTTTCGTAGATGGTTTCCGCTGCCCCGCAATGTTCTCCGCAACCCGCTAGAAGATTTGGGACTCTGCAGGCAAGGCTAGAGCCGCACATGCGCGCTAGTGGCGTCTTCGTTGAGGAAAGCGTCGCGGATTAGGGAAAGCGATGTACGAAAACTCCCTAATCGGTGCTAGGGTGGCGAAGCACGAGACAGCCCTTACCAAAGCTAGAGGTGCAAAAGCGAGCTGCTGGAAAAGTGGGAAACCCTTCTCACCGGAACCCTCTTTTGTGTGTCCCACGCGTAGGTCTTCTCCCCCTCGGAGAAGATTCGCCCGCCACTCAAAATTCGTACAAAAGCGGCTTTCCCCTCTCTCTCCCGCCGTCGGCTTCGACAGCACTGCGCGCAGCTAGTGTGAGAGAGAGGGTATAGTCACGTGTCCCCCTCCGATGCGCTGATTGGCTCACTCAAAACCGTAGCCTCCGCCGTTTGCCAAGTTACTGTGAAACGAAGTGTAAATGAGCGAATGCCCCCAGTTAGAGTTATTCGCTCCGTCGCACGACCCTTGGCATTTCACGACAGGTCTCTAAAATATGCGGAAATCGTCTTAAAATTATAATGGCCACCTCTAAGCTAACAAATAAATATTAAAGAAAGAAATTACTAAGAAGTTAATCTCATGAGGGAGAACATGAAATTACTCGTATTTTTGATTACAGGCTCTTCGTAAAATAGGTTTTACGTTTCAGCTAACGCGACTCCTCTTCTTTTTTTTTTTGTCTTCCTGTTTTTGTTTTAAAGTGAAGCCATAAAACGGACAAGATGAAGGAATATAATCCAAACCGGTCGTTGGGCGCTCATTAGCTCGAACTAAATTTTCGTAGCCCATTAGTGGAATGGAGCTTATTCGGCGTCCGTCGTCGAAATGTTCTTATTGCAATAGCGTTCTTCTCACGGTCGCGGCTCAGTTTCGCCATGTCGTGGTCGTCGTCGTCGTGATTTACCGCCATCTTTTGCTGCTCCCCGAAACGTAATACCGTGGAACGATGGAAAGATTTTTAAACGAACATTCCGGCAGTATCTTAAAGCTTTGATGGAATTTTACTTCGATGGTGCATTAGGAAACTTGCTCTTGCCATAACCATAATGTAATGTTATATCGCGTAATAAACAATCCGGAGGGCAGGGGGAACAGCAAGCTCGATAGAACGATAGAACATAAAAATTGCTGCGCGTTAGTTATTTGTTTGTGTATCAGGTGACTGCTCTATCTACTTGTACCTACTACTTACCTTCGCGGATGTGTTCCGGTAACATTCCGACCGCGTGCCTAACTGGCTTAGGACACGAAACGATATATTCCACTCTTCTGTAGTGCATTGAACGCAAAAAGGAGCAAGCCAATCAAAGGGTATGCACTGCGAGTTTGTACACACCTTCATCATTTGACGTTTGTGTTACTTTGGTTGGTGTCCCTCTTTTTCTTTTGTACACTTCTTCTAGGTCCGAACAACGAGGAGAGGAGAGCAACATTGTGCGTGTTTGTCCCACGCCTTGTACCTTTTGGCGTTTTAACTCGTACTTGTGTATCATTGGATGTGTCTTTGAACGTTTGACGTTTGTCGTGTTTCGGACATGTGTGGCACTCTGGCTTCACAACTCGGTTCTTCTTGTCCCCAGTCTACCCAACAGTCCTGGAGTTCACAGAAGGAGCACGAGTCGTCAGAGGTCACGCACGACAACAGGAACTGTGCCACACAAGGTGAGATGTCGAACCCGGCCACCACTTTGACTTTATGTATTTGAAAACGTTTTCAGCACTCTGTGACTCCCTAAAGCATTAAGCGTTACATGAAACGTCCTAGATGTGGACGCTCGAAGTTAATATCGAATTTTCCACGTAGAAACTATCTACTTGCTTTCTGGCGGTCTGGCTGCGCGTAGCACTGACTGTGCTTCCAAATGCTATTTGAAAGGAACACTGACGGGTGGAAAACTTCACAATTGCATGATTCGCGACATTATTTTTGGCTCTTTTTTTATTTGCTCGCCTTGTTTGCGCTCGTTTCTATTCACCGCTTGCCGAAGAAACGAGTCAATCATTTTATTTTCGGGTTAGATTTGATTATTCTTTTTGTTGCATATATTTGCGTTCCTTTAAATATCATTTTGAACTTTTCCTTACTCATTTGCAATTGGTAGGTTTTGTTCTCAGTTTTGGTTATCTGAAGGTTTGCTCAATCATCTAATTATTTCGATACCCGATTGAACTTTGTAAGTATTCTGCTTACGTTACAAGTTAGTAATTGCCAATGCAGCAGCTGCGACTGCTTACAGACGACGCTTCTACACTAGGTCTTAGTATCAAATCCCGACGCGGAACCAGAAAGCATTAAAACGTCCTTTCATTCCTCCTTTTCGTTCTTGAAAACCGGAAACCTCTTCTTTCTACGGAGGATAGCATTGTTGAAGGGTTTTCTGACAGGCAAAAAACTATTGGGGAGGTCAGCCTTTCTGGCCGACCTCCCCAACAGTGTTGAGAGAACACACCAATTCTTGAACTGTTCTCTTAATAGGGGCGTACAAGGTACTGACCTAATTCTTCCTTCCAGGTCTCCCATCTATAGCCACGGTGACGAACAGCTACCAAGGTGAAGAACACCCCCTGCGGAGTTGGATCTGCAATGCCTGGCCCCCGGCGCAACAACAGGAGGCTCTACAGCAACCGCGAGGACCTCCCCCGGACTGCCTGCCCTACCTTCAAGGCCATTGGCCGCCCGCGCCATACCCACCTCACAGCGAGTCCTCCTGGAAACCGCCAGACGCCTACTCCAGGACAGACCACGTCTACGAGACCATAGATGAAGAGGTACCGGACTCGTGGCGGTGCCAGTCGCTCCAGCCACGTCATGGTCCTCGGCAGAGCAGCTACAGGTCCTTAGGACGCCCTGCTGGTCTAAACAACGTGAACGCTGCGGCGGACAGGACTATCCTCGGCTCGCTGACCGCGGTGTTGACGTCGTCCCCGAGGTCGAGGCATCTGCCCATCATCGGGGACTCCTGTTTGAGACAACAGGTGGCGTACTCTGGCATCAAGAGCCCGTCGGAGTCGGAGAGGTCCTCTAGTTCGTTGACGGAAGAGGAGAGGACCGAGTCAGCGGTCCTCGAAGACAGGTGTAGGGGACGCGACGTCTGGTCATCCGGGGGGTGCCAGAGGTCGGACGTATATGTGCCCGAGGGTGTGGAACACTTTTGACGGCTTCTGGTCGCTGTTGTCCAAGATAAGGCTTGAGGACTCTAAAGGAAGGAACATTCGTAAAAAGGTATAGCGGCCAGCGCGGGATATTTATTACTAAGGAACGAGTCATCGCGAAGAAGATTTGTGTGCGCATCGGACACGACGGAAGTGTTTTTCGTCTGCGTCGTGTGCTCTGCGGTTAGATTCTTAACTAAAGACTTTGGCGTCTGTGTTCCATGATGCCGATCGGGTGGCGTTCACCATCACCGACTGTGCATATCGCCAGCGCTGTGTGGCCAAGAACTTCTTTTATCATTATTTTTATTTTTCGGCGGCGATGGACATCTTTTGGACTCGTTTTAGCAATTTTGCAGTTCGAGTGTTGCGACACGCGTGCAAGTTGAAAATGACCCGATTCCGATCGCGTCATTTTGTAATATATCATATCAAAACGAAACAAACTTACAAAAAAAAGCAGCTGTTCCCTTCAAAGTTTTTTTTTTCTTTTCCATCAAGCGATTTACGGAAACTACGTGTTGTATGATACAAGTTCGTTGTTTTATTTTAATTAATAATATTATTTTGGTGTCGTGAGTGTGAGTGTACCTTCGACGAGTGAGAGTGTTGGAGAGAGTCTTGTGTCAGATTTGGGTGGATTGGGAGTTGCAAATCGATTTTTGTTTGATGCAAGCTTTTCAATGAGTCCGATTGGAGTTTGTGCATTTTACTTATATATTTTTTTTTATTAAACGCAAGTACATTGTTTCACAACGCCGAGCAAGACTCACAGTCGCTAGTCAAGTGTGTTATAATTTTAGACAAACAAAACCAATGTCGACAACGTGTTTCAGGCCGGTTATTCCAGACACGTTCACACCTGACGCCGATATGCAAGCTATGTTGCCCAACGTGAGATAACAAAAAAAATATTTTCCAGCTTAGTTTTTTTTTAATTTTCACGGACGTTGTTCCGTCCGAGTTTGCCTAAACTACCAACAAATTGTCTGTCGCACGTTGGAGAGCATCGCTGGCCAATCGCTGGCCAAGTTTGAGCATGTCTTTGGACGGCACACGCGCAAAATTCACGAAACGTTCACCGATAAGTCACCGCGTTTGGTGAAGCAATGTAGTGTGCTGTTTCTTCCGCCTAGTTTTTTTGCTCCTGCGTCATTTTTTTTAAAGTTTGTTTATGTAACATGTGGACGCGAAACTTTTTCTAGAATTGAACTCCATAGGGAAGGTGTTTCGACGCTCAATTTTTATGCATTTAAAAATATTTTGTCTTGTGAGAAGCCAAACATGCCAGCATATGAGTGTTTTTTTTAATTTATCGGGAAGAGTTACATACTCATTGGTGAAACATTTATTATTGCACATTACACGAATCGTCTCGATCAAGGAATGTTCACCACTGCTGTGTTCTTCATTTAGTTCGTTCAACACGACGACTGTAAAGTGTGACCATTTGATAACATTTAAAACGATGGTTCAAAAAAAAAAAAAAAAAAGGACTGCGTTTTAGGATGATTGATTGTGACTAGCTATTCTGTGCCCACTTTTAATTATAAGAAATGCCGGCTCTTGCGAACGTCTGCGAGGATCAGGGGATGGCTGGGAACATTCGCCTAACTTGTAATTTAATCACGATACCTTCCGTGAAATGTGCGGGCTGCTATGTAAAGAGTGTTAAAAAGTGTGTCGGGTATAATTAATTATTGAATATTAAGGTGAATCTTTGCGCCTATGCTTGTACTTCACTCACCCCTGGGCCGGTACTGTTGTGGAAGGAGGGATCTGTGTAATGCAAAAAGATAATGTATTTCGAACGCTGGGAGTAAAGTCTAAAATGAACTCACGTAGCTAAGAGAACCTTTAATACGTTTTAGCGCTTCCCAAGCAGCGTTGTACTTTTTCGGTGGGACGCTCAAAAACGGAAAAGAAGCAGCTCGGTTAACAAGACTTCACGCGAAACCAAATTATAAGTATCGCTGCCAAATTATGAGCTTCGTTAAAAGCACGACACTGTTAAAAGTGCCTGAATGTTAACCATGTTGAATGAACCCGTGACTGGAGAAGAGAAGAAACCTCAAAACGTAGAAGTTAGTTAGAAATTAGGGACAATTACTAAATTACAGACCTCACGCGAGCAACACAATAGTAGTAGTTGACGTGATGTTCGAAAAATTCGAGAACTCTGTAAACGCGAAAAACAAAACAAAACAAAAAAAGTTCTACCGTAACGCTGCTCAGGGGTGAACGGAGTACACGTCATCGGTGTTGTTACGATCATCGAGTTATTGTTTGGAGCAAAACTAGAACAAAGAAAGAGGAGAGCATAGAGAGGAGGAGTTTGTACGATACCGTTGATGCGTCCCTCCTTTTCTTTAATCACCGTCAATTTCCGCGCGCGGTCGCCCATTCTGTGATAGCGTGGGCTGAGGCAGCCCACGACGAGTTGTCACTTTCGTCGGGGTTGACGCGACCGAACAGCCGCCAAGTATGTATACGTCTGCGCGACCTGTCAACATGTGTGAATGCGCGTGTGTTTGTGTGTTTGGTTGTCCGTGCGTTTGTTGTTGGCGTGCTGTGTTCTATTGTTTTTTCTCGTCCGCGTTGGAAGTGAAATGGCTTTTAAGAAGAGACAAACAAAAAGAGCGAAATAAACTATTTGTGTACTTAAGGGTGTCCTTTTGTTGCCAGCAGCGTTTAGACAGCTTGGGTTAGAACCCGGGGTCCCATTGCTCATTCATCGTACAAAATGCAGTCTGCAAACACGATTCACCGCAATATCCGTGGTTTGAATGCCGCGTACCAAGTTTTCTCTTTGAACTCATTGCCGTACGGCTTCCAAAATTGTAACGCAGCGCGCAAAAGACGAGAACCCAGAGCAAACGGAAGAACACAAGACAAGCGCGAGGTCCGTGCTTCGAATGCCGTACTGCATTCGAAGCACGGATCTCGCGGTGACTTGCGTTTGAATCTGCAGGCAGACCGTTTTTTGTATGACGTATTAGCGGGGTGACCGCGGCTTGCTGCGGACAATACATTGCAATCCTCTAATTTGCATGAAACAGCGCGTTTAAAGTGTAAATTAAAAAAAAAAAAAATTACACCACCTTCCCGGGGGAAACCATAGGGTGATGCGGAGCATCGCGGATCGTTATTAACGGTGTTAACTCGCGTGTTATTACGTTGTTAACTTGCGTTGGTTACCACACATCGCGTGAGCGTTGTTGGAAACTCCGCGATGCTCCGCATCACCCCATGGGTCCCCTCGGGAAGATGGTGTAATTTTTAGATGCGGAGCATCCCTTGCTCGGGTCTATGTCCCGCGGCGTCGTAGTCCGCTCTCACACTACGCGTGCGTCACTCTCCTCCTTCCCTCTCTCCAACAGCTGCGCGTTACTCTCTCTCTCTCTCTCTCTACCAGCTGCGTGCACTTCGCGTGCGTTCGCTTCTACTCACACCGCGCGCGCATGCGCATCTCTCCTCCTCCAGTCTCCTCTCCTTCAAGTGTGAATATAAGCAGCGGTAGCGCGCTGCGCGCGTTCAGTTCACCCGCTGTTGACTCCACTTCACTCCGTTCTTCCGATGAAGTGTGATGGAAGCAACAGTCCCGTCAGTTAGTGGGTTGGCGCAAGCAAGCGTCAGCACCACCCCACAAACTAACAGCAACGCTACGTCCACTGAAGACAAAGCTGCGCAGCGAAGGGCACGCGACGCTGAGCGCAAGCGCTTGAAGCGAGCGGCAGACCCTGAACTACGGCAACGAGAAGCGGCGTCCATTCGTCAACGTCGAGCGGTGGATGCTGAACTACGACAACGTGAAGCAGCGGCGGTTCGAGAACGTCGAGCAGCAGAACATGAGGTTCGGGACCGTGAAGTTCAACGTAAACGTACGAAGCGAGCGGCGGAACCCGACTTTCGAGAACGGGAAGCGGCGTTGGTTCGTGAACGTCTAGCAGGAGAACCTGAGGTTCGGGACCGTGAAGTTTAACAACGTTACTAACACCGTTAATAACACCGTTAATAACGATCCGCGATGCTCCGGATCACCCCATGGTTCCCCTCGGGAAGATGGTGTTTACTTTTTAACGTGCATCACGCAGTAGTGATCACACGAACGCGTGCCGGTACGAAACTCATCCAGATCGAGACGGGCGGGGGCGGCCGGGACTCGAGCCCAGGAGGTTCCCAGCGCAAGCTTTCGCTCCACGCTTCGAGCTGAGACGCGTTAGCCCACTCGGCCACTTCCTCCCCTTGAACGCGCGCAGCGCGCTACCGCTGCTTATATTCACACTTGAAGGAGAGGAGACTAGAGGAGGAGAGTTGCGCGCGCGGTGTGAGTAGAAGCGAACGCACGCGAAGTGCACGCAGCTGGTAGAGAGAGAGAGAGAGAGAGTAACGCGCAGCTGTTGGAGAGAGGGAAGGAGGAGAGTTGCGCACGCGTAGTGTGAGTGCGGACTACGACGCCGCGGGACATAGACCCGAGCAAGAGATGCTCCGCATCTAAAAAAAAAATCTCTCGTGGTGGCATGGATTTTTTGTTTCCCACAGGACGCTTGCGCGCCTCGCTGTCCACGCCATCGCGCAGTCGCGCGGCGTCCAGACGGCAGGGATGGCTGCCTGGACTGGCGCTTGAGTGTTCACGACGAGAGATAGTGGCACCTATCGTCGTTATAGCTAATCGAATAAGATTAAACCTAAAGTAAAAAAAAAAAAAGAAAGACGTTTAGAATTTTGTGTAATGTGAAATTAGAGCGCAGCTCTTGAGGAGGGGCGGGTATGTCCCTCCTCCCCTCGTACTATGGTGCCTGGAGCGCGTCTCCGACAGGTGTGTGTTTAGCGTCCCATGCTGCCCATACATCAAAAGTGTTCCTGAATTGGCAACAACTGACGTCGCAGAAGCGGGAGTGTCACGCTGTCGCATGTCGCGATCCTGGCGGTTGGTCGTAGAAATGCCGGAAAAAAAGCACGAGCGAAGGCGAGTGTCGCCGCTGTCACGGCGTCCCAACTTCTAACTGCCGAAGCTTCCGTGGACTGTCAACTGCAGAGCGACCTGCGGCAGAACAGGCGTCTGCCACATACACCACCGCTGACGCGTGACACCGCCAGGATCGCGACAAGCGACAGCGTGACACTTCTATGGCGGAAATCGAGGGACCACTTTTTTAAACGCGGTAAACACTCCAGTTGGAGACGCGTTTTATGCACCATGTCCGTACCTTCCCCTCCTCCTCCCCTCCCATTTAGCGGGAAATTTTCGCTAAATCTAGAAGAAACATTTTCCCGCTAACTTTTGTGGCGAAACGTCCCCTAATGCAACGCACGCGGTTACGCGACGCCGCTGAACCCGGAAACGGGCGCCTAAGAGCTGCGCTTCGAGATAAAAATAAATTCACAGGGTCTCTTATGTTATTCCTAAAGGTCCGTTCACACTCTTGCGACTGAGTTCGACCGAGAGAGACCAGACCGGTTTTTAAGCCTCTTGCGACTTCTTAGGACCAGCTCCGCTGCATCGCATCCGGTCCTACGAAGTCCCAAAAGGCTTAAAAACCGGTCTGGTCTCTCTCGGTCGAAGTCGGTCGCAAGAGTGTGAACGGGCCTTAAGACGACTTGAAGGCGAAAGCCCAAGCGCCGACGTAAACGTGACAGCGAACCTCCGAAGGCAGCGCGCTCTCTGACGACGCACTTTCGGCTCCATTTTATCGGTACCTTACGTGTCGCCGGCGTGTTTTCGCTCAAGGACTTTGAAGGTCGACTGAACGATGAGACATAGAAGGCTTTCGCCTTAAGATTGGCTAGGCGGCGCGAGTCACCGCCCGCCATTCATCCATTCACCTATCCGTTCAAAGGAGGACACGCCGAGCCTGCGGCGCATCCAGCAGTGCAAACTACGCAAATTCGTTCTGCGCCCAAGGTCAGTGGAATTTAGCGGAGTGATATGTACTATCGGGGGAAAATCAAATGCCAACAGAGGAGCGCGTGGCTCGCGGTACAGGCTGCGCCGCCTGGAAGTGAGCCTAAGGGCGAGAGTGCGTGGCCTACTCCGAGGAGTTTACGCCCTTCGCTCGGCGCTCCCCAAGTTTCGGCATTGCGCCTCTCACTGCGCTGAAAGCTACTTCCGCCATCTTTGCTCGCTCGGCGCGTGCGGCGCGAGGAAGCTCGTGGCTATAGTAGCAGCTAAAGCGCGCGCTCAGCCAGCGCGAGCTTTAGCTGTTACTGCTGTTGCTACGTCCTCCTTTTGTGCCGTTTTCTTCTTTGGGTTGGTTTTGAAGCTCTCGCAGCTGGCGAAGTCTTCTCGAAACGTCTTGTGACGCGTTTACACTTGCGAATCCACGGGTGGATCCTTGCCTGGGCCCTGCGGAATTCGGAGACCAGTAAAACGGACGTACCTAACGACAGAAGCTAGTCCGTCTGGCGTTTATTTGAGTTCTACTTAATACACAACGGCACCACTTTGCGACAAGCGCCTGCATCCCACCAAAGCGAGGTCAGCTGTTCATGCGGGAAGAATCCACTTAAAACAAGGGGTCGTGCGTGCATTCGAGGTGCCGGGCCAAGCAGGGAGGGGGTCTCCTTCCTGTTCGTTCTTAGCAATGAGATCACCGGCGTCGGTTAGTTAAAGGTTCACCTGATTCAACCTGATTCACATAGGAAGACAGAAAAGAAGGCAGAGAGCGCGTTCCTTCTTTTCTTTTCACGGTCTTGGGAAGGCGGCACATGATTCACCACCGTTAAGGGCGCACTGCTGGTTTGCGCTGCCTGTTCTGCTACATGCCGAGTAGGAAACCTGGAATCGTCGTGGTCTCGTCTCTTTTGCGGTAGAACTTGACCATTTTCGCGCGCTTCCTCCCATGTGGCGGAACGACGTGTGCCGGTGCACGATCCAGGCAACCCCCTAAAATTTTCCATAGGGCCGGCCAACGTTGGGGCCGGCCAATGAAGTCGACTTTGGTACAGTAGCGCCGAATTCCTCGTCCGTGGTGGAGGGCTCTCATTACTTGAACGAGTCGACATATTATTTTATGTTCGGTAGATTACAGAATCACATTAACAACTAACCACACTATTTATAAAATACATGGCTGACTTTTCAAACCGGCTTTTTTATTGAACACGTTAGGAACGTAGTAGCCTACTTTGTAGCCGCTTCTATGCCAAGCCATAAAGAATCCAACATGGCGCCATTTTATTTTTGTAGGGCGGTTGTCGTACGATCGCTTCGGGGTCGTGCTGGAAAAAGGCTCCTGGGCATCGCACCCGGTCCTGGTAGTGTAATATTAGGGACTCTGACCAAACTGTTACCGTGTTCCGCGTACCGCACTGTCGAAGCCTTTGAAGCATGCTTTTAAGCGCGCGCCCCGCGGTGAGAGTATCACTGGGCGCGCGCTTAAAACGCATGCTTCAAAGGCTCCGATAGTGCGGTACGCGGAACACGATAACGGTATCGCGTCTGATTGGTTAGAGGCTCTCGTCATTTGAGCCTCTAACCAATCAGAAGCGATATCGTCACTTTCGTCACTTCCGTTTCTTTTTAGGAGAAACGAAACATTTGTCGAAAATAGCCCCCCAGGTGACGGCAACTTCGCTCCTGTTCCGAGGTAACCTAATTTTGTTATGTGTTTCGTCGCTTTGACGCGCTTTGAAGGGAGGCTTAAACCTTAAAGCCGCACTCAC